TTGCTGGTATGATTGGGATCTTTCAATGGGCTTCGGTGTACGCTGCAAGTCTGGGCTGCAAGTAGAGGTTTCGTCTTTTCATAAGGAAATACAGCAAGCCGTGTGGTGCACGGATAGGTGTATTGTCGCTTGCACACGCTGCTATGCACCATATGCATGACTTGTCACTGCAACAGAATATTGATCTGTCACATCTGTTTGCCTGCCATGAACGGCAAGAAGCGCAAGCGCTGCGTGGAGAGCAACGAGATTGTGCGTGGGCCGAAAATGTGCTTCCGAGAGAAGCAGCAAGCCAGAATTTTGAGTGGCCTCCGCTTCCTCAAGGCTCCTACTGCCTTTTGGCTTTCCTATTAGAGTGTTACAGATTTATTCTGATTGTAGGGTGTTGAAAACAAACTGTACACTCATAATGCCAAGGTTATTGCAACGCTAGTGCTCATGGCTCTCGATTTGCCCTGCTTCGATGCAGATTGCTCGCTGGATCATTTCGAAGTCTTCGCCGGTGTCATGTCGGTTACAAATGCAGAGACGAAGGATTCGTTTGGATGGGTCGAGTTTCTAAGCTTCTCTTTAAGGGAAGTGAAAACAATTTGAGACAGTTCTGCTTTTTCCCCATAAGAAAATCCCTGCAAGGCTGGTCGTTCTGCCGTTGCCTATGATGTTCGACATGACCCGTCGGGCCAGAACCTCCTCGATCCTGTTGGCTTCCTGCATTCTATTGCACAGTGCTGCCGTTTGCGAGTTGGTGGCGGTGCGTTTTTCGCACCAGTTTGTTCAAGCTGGGTATTTATGCTACTTGCCGATTCCTAGTCTTTTGAATAGGTTCTAGTTGCAAAGCCACCATAGTTGAGATTCGTTGCAATGGTGTTGGTTTTCTGTTTCATTGACATTGAGGGTCTTATTTGTTTCCAGGGCTTCGGGGGAGACGTTTGTGCTTATGATGTTCAGTCTTTTTCATTAATTTTCGGACACAGACTCAGGTGTCGCGCCAAAACGGAGCGAAGCGTGGTACGACCGATGGGAAATACCTTGCATGATTCTGTGTCGCAAGGCAACACACTTACTGCTAGAACGTTGGTGCTTGCCTTCGTGTGCGCTGCTCTACAATGCTGGTGGTTCCTAGAGCAACCGAAGGGCTCATTGATGGAGATGCACCCTCTATTCCAGCAGTTTCTTACGCATGTGGATGTATACAAGCTATTTCTCCGAATGCGTGATTTCGCTCACGGCTGCGAAAAACCAACATGGTTGTATTCAAGTCCTTGCTTTAAAGCATGGAGAATGTGTTTTTTCTTACTTATGGATATACTCATATAATCATTCTTAGAAGCTACAGGCTTCCCGGACCAATTCCCGAACCCAGGTCGACCGGAAGTTAGTGCGCTCAGTGATTTCCGACCACGCTGGTTTCCCGAACCGGAAAAACTTCAGATGGTTACCAGAAGCTCCAAAGATGATGGTACGATGTCTGTGACGGGTGGGCAAGATCTACGTGAATCACAAGCTTATCCCTACCAGAGTCTTGGACGTTGACTATAGT